TACCACAGAGTTCACACAGCTCCCTATGTGGCAGGTACTGTCCCCCCTCCCCCCCCCCCCCCCCCTTAAGGATTTCTTTCGCCTCCCCCACCACTCGAACCAAGACCAAGGGGCTATAGTCAATTGGGAAGCATGGTGAGTACCATCAGCTACCTATAGCCCCTTGGTCTTGGGTTCGAGTGTGGGGAGGTGAAAGAAATCCCTTAAGAGGGGGGGGGGGGGGGGGGGGACAATACCAAAAATGTAATGCTTTCTTTCTAGCAGTATACTCGTAAAATAATTAATAAATCTCATTAACAATATATATAGAAATACCACTATATACGAGTAACAAAGTATGGGCCCATATTTAATTTTCTTTATATCAAAATATTTACAAATATACTCAAAATAGCATGGACAGTGTAGCCCAACCCATCCACTACACGATGTTCCTTGTGACCGCAACTCACCTATCCTCCAAAACATTAAAAACAACAGAGTGAGCACTAATTGCTCATTAAATAAACCCTATCTACCCTTCTCTCTCCGCTGCTTAAATTCCGAATTTTCTTTCCTTACATCACATTTCCCGATTATTCTCTGTTCTTTCCCTATTCTTCTCTCTGTTCTTTCTCTGTTCTTTCTCTATGCTTTCTCTGTTTTGCTCTCTATTTTTCTCTCTGTTTTTCTAAATTTTTCACTACCCATGATAATGAGCATGGTATTATGCATATTCATGATGCAAATGCACAAATGCATAATTATGCATTTTCTTTCTATTTTTCTGTTTCTTTTCTTTATTTCTTTATTTCTTTTCTAGTCTTTCTTTCTTTTCCAGTCTTTCTTTCTTTTCTATCCTTTTTTTTTTTTTTTCTATCTTGCCGATGGACTCGGTTGAGGCATGGATTTGGAGCCTTGGCCGTGTGAGTGAATCTCTATATTATGGTACATCCCCCCCACACACACACTTCTAACGGACTGTACATTTCTTCTTTCTGAATTCTGAGGCCGCTCACTAAGGCGGCATGCATGTGGGACTATGTCACTCACGAGCTCCCATTGCAACAACCTTCTCTTCTTTTATCTTTTTACACTTCCTTAGGTAAAATTTCAGATTTGAATAACTTTGATATTCTCATTTATTTCTATTTTCTCTTTAACATATTTTAGGGCTTTTTCATGCTCTTATGAATATATATGCATGTAGATGGTTTCATGCTTATAATTCTTTCTAAATTTACTATTTAAATGCGTTATGCATTATGGAATGCCAACATGTCATTCTCTACCATCTACAAACCACATCCAAGGTAACACATAATCATACTCATACAGGCACTTCTCCTTGGCATTTCATCAAACATTTCATGTGCACAAATCAACACTATTTGGCTACACTTCTATCTCTATTTTAGGCCACCAAAAACTTGGAATAAACTCCTCCATAATACTCCAAATCTGCCCATAATACACACTTCAAAATTTTCACTTCAACTCTTCCAAATCTCAACCAAACATTCATCAAGTATCACGTACACCAACCCAACTTCTCATGGATAAATTCTAATTATGATTCAACACCAAATCCATCAACAATTCCACATATAACTATATATATGCACAAAGAAAATTCTCTACACAACATAAGTTAAATAACACTTAGGGTAGGATTTACTTACCTTTGATATGAGCAAATCAACCCTTTAAGAATCTCCTTTGATCAAACTCTCTTCCTCTTAAATCCTATGAGCATAAACCATCAAAATCAACACTTTAAAAACTAAAATTCACTTCTTAGTGCAAGGATCTTACCTATAAAGCTTAAGATTAAATCCACCAAAAACACCCAAAACCTTTGAATTTCCTTTGAGATTGAAGTTTGAGAGGATATGGAGTGAAAGTGGCGTGCATATGGGTAAGAGTGGCTAGGGTTTCACTTCAATTTGATATAACATAAAAATTATATATAGTTTCCTTTTTGCCCTTGCACATCCTTTAAAATTCCATCTATGTCCCTTAGTCAATTACCATAATGCCCCATTTTTTATTGCATTTTCCATGAATTCTATCTCTTTTCACTCCCCACAATTTCAACTAATTTTGATGAAAAGACCATTTTACCCTTAATCAAGTTTAAGGCATTTTCTTCACATTTTCCTTAAAATAACCTTAGCAAAAATCAACAAAAGGCATAAGAACATAAATTAAATTACATCATCCATTGGGGCGTTACAATTCTCCCCCTCTTAAAAAAAAAAAAAAAAAAACAGAACAGAAACAGCAAAAATTAAACTAGAAACAATTAAACTAAAATTAAACTCAAATCTAGCTAAAACAAAAAAATTCTATTAACACAAAATCACCCGGCAACAGCGCCAAAAACTTGATGCATTTAAAATTACAACATGCAATGCGTAGCAAGTGCACTAGTCGCAAAAAGTAATAAAGTGATAAGTAGAGTATCATTCCCCACGGATTGCGTGTTAAGCACTGATTTTCCTAGTTGTTTATAAAGTTGGAGAAAACCGAAAGATGTTTGGATTTGCAGGAGAAAAATCAGATAAAGTTGAAACAAATCCACTACGTAATTTAAAAGCTAATTAATGACAACAAATCGATTCTAGAGAAATATCAATTAAAACAATGCGGTTAGGGTTTTGACTTCACTAGGATTTTATGAATTAATCTACGATTTCTGTTACTTCTACATTCACATGCACAGATTAATTGGGCACCCTAAGTAAAACATACCTTTTCAGGCTATGTCTTCCTACTTATCCCTATTAAGCTTCTGATAAGTTGCATAATTTGAGTGTTTTTAAGGTTGTTTTATGTTAGTTTATTTAACCTCTCATTTGTTTCCTTTGTTTTGATGTTTGTTTTTGTTAATTTTGAGATATGAATGGTTATCTATTGATTTGGATAACTTTTTTGTTTTTTTAGGCTTTGCTTAGTAGATTGGAGTATTCGAATGAAATTGGGACTTAACGCTGAAGAGGTTGAGATTACCTAACATTCTTGAAGGCCACAGCCATCCCTTGGTATTTTACCATGGCCATGGTGGCAGAACAAAAGAGAAAACAGAGACTAGGAAGCACCACAGCCTAGGTTGTGGTGACTTAAATTTAGCCTGGGCCAGGGTTGTGGCGGAAACTATTAGGGCATTTTTATCAGTTTTTCTTTCCTTTTTTCACTTAGGACTCTTTTGGTTATTTAAATATAATTGAAATCAGTTGTCAGGGACGGATTTTGCATATTTTTTAGAGGATAAGACGCATTCTTGGGGCTTGAAGACAAAGATCATATTTAAGAGTTTGATTTTTATTTATTTTCAAGTCTGATTATGTTTTCTTTCTCTCTATTATTTCTTTCTTTGTTCTTGGGATGGAGTAAATCTCTTTTGTTAGGGGAGGATGAACCCTAATTATGTTTGAACAATTTTTATTCTTAATACCAGATTTATGTTTATGAATTTGTGCAAGAGTTTAGGTTTAATGCTTTAATGAATGGATGATTCAATTACCTTGATGATGTTTCGAATAGAGAAGTTAGGGTTTATTGCTTAATTCATATTCATGATTGTTATATGGGAATAACATTGCACAACATATTAAAACTAGAAGTAATCGAATAGAGATTCTAGGATTAATTTGTGGTCTATCTAATTCATAACCAAATAGGGCGAATTAGTCGTAAGGGATTGATGAATTTATGCTTCTTAATTTCAGAGTAACCGAATAGGGATATGTATTAAGTTGAATATTATGCCTGAATATGGATAATTGGCCTTAGAAGAATTGTACCAATTCATGGCACAAACAGGTATTAAAAGTGGTTGTCAAGCATAATTAGGGGGAAATCTGTACCCTAACTTCATTAATATTGCAAAGTTCATCACATTATTTATTTGTTTAATTTAGTTATTTTTAATCCGTTACTTTTACACTTTAAGATTTTGTTTTCTCAAATAACATGTAGGCAGTTTTAGGTAATTACAAATATTTCGCTTTGATCTATGTGGGACGATACTCAAACTCATCACTTTATTACTTGAACACGACTAGTGCATTTGCTAAGGTTGATTTAATCGCATCAAGTTTTTGGCGCCGCTGCCGGGGATCATTAGATTGTTTGCGATTATTTTAAGATTACTTGTTACTTGGAGATTTTATTTTATTTTATTTTGTTTGTTTTTTTATTGGAAACCAATATGTTTCTGCTAGTGTATGACCAGAGCTTCTGGAAATATTTTACTAGCATTTGATCCTGAGATAGAGCGCACTTTTCATGCAAGAAAGAGAGCAATCAGAAGGGACATCATGGGTGATCACGATAACCCAAATAATGGAACACCACCAGCAACTCGTACACTAAATGAGTACTCTACCCCATCTCTAAATGGAGCAACATTGAGCATTCGACGACCGGTGACCAATGCCAACACCTTTGAGATAAAGCTAGCAATCATCCAGATGATTCAGTAGTCAATGCAGTTTGGTGGTTTGGCACATGAAGATCCCAACTTACATATTGCAAATTTCCAGGAGATTTGTGATACTTTTAAGCACAATGGAGTTTCCGATGAAGCTATAAGACTAAGATTGTTCCCATTTTCATTAAGAGACAAAGCTAAGAGTTGGTTGACCTTATTACCAACAGGCTCGATTACAACCTAGGAGCATATGACACAAAAATTCCTTAGTAGGTATTTTCCTCCTGCAAAGACTACACAATTGCATAATGATATTACTATGTTTGTGCAGGTGGATACAGAGTCACTATACGAAGCATAGGAAAGGTTCAAGGACATGCTTCGAAGATGTCCCCACCATGAATTACCGGTTTGGCTACAAGTCCAAACGTTCTATAATGGTCTTAATAGTGAAGTTTGAAACATGATCAATGCTGCTGCGGGTGGTACTTTAGGTAAGAAGACACCAGAATAAGCTTATGAATTCCTGGAGGAAATGGCTTCAAACTCTTATCAATGGTCAATAGAAAGGTTACCTATGAGAAAAATGTTGGGTGTTCATAACATAGATGATATCACGGCTTTGGCAGCACAAATGCAGGCGTTAAATAAGAAGATTGATGGACTTCAAATTCAAAAACTTGTAATAGTTGCTTCTATGTGTGATTTTTGTGGTGAAGATCACCCAAACCATGAGTGTCAATCAGGTAACATGTTTGCGATTAATTCTATGCATGATCAAGCTAACTATGTTTCAAATTTTCGCTGGCCTAATAATAATCCATACAGTGAAACATATAATCCAGTGTGGAGGAATCACCCAAATTTCTCTTGGAGTAACAATAATCAAGTGAAACAACCACTGCCAGGTTTTCAATCTCAAAAGAAGAAATCAAATTTAGAAGAGATGATGGTGAAGTTCTTGAGTACTACAAACACAAGAATTCATAATCAAGAGGTTTCCATCAAGAATTTAGAAGCTCAAATTGGCCAGTTAGCCAATATCATTTCGGGTAAACAGCAAGGGCATCTACCAAGTGACACAGAAAAGAACCCGAATGAGCAATGTAAGGCCATAACCTTGAGGGATGGAAAGGTGATTGGTGAAGAAGAATCACAAAAAAAGGCGGAAAGTGAAGCGAAGTTACCAATCTCCATTAAAGAAAAGAAAGCGAATTCAGAAAAAGAGACAGAGACTAAGGTAAAGGAAATTGCAAGAGGTAAAGGAAAAGGTACGTCAAATTATGATTCTATTGTTGTTGAAAAAGATGTATCTAAATTTCCTTATCCTGATAGAATTAGAAAGGATAAACTGGATCAACAATTTTCAAAGTTTTTAGAGGTCTTTAAGAAATTGCAAATAAGTATTCCATTTGCTGAAGCTTTAGCACAGATGCCTAGTTATGCAAAGTTCTTAAAAGACATCCTTTCTAACAAGCAGAAGATTGAGGAGCATGGGACAATTATGCTCACTGAAGACTGTATTGCCATACTGCAAAATAAATTACCTCCTAAACTAAGAGATCTAGGGAGTTTTACTATACCTTGTGCATTAGGAGATTCATTCTTTGATAAAGCATTGTGTGATTTAGGTGCTAGTATTAATTTAATGCCTTTATCAAATTTCAGGAAGCTAGGTCTTGGAGAAGTGAAAGAGACGAACATGTTCCTCTAGCTTGCTGATAGATCAATCAAACGACCAAAAGGCATTGTTGAAGACATTTTGTTAAAGGTTGACAAATTTATCTTTTCGGTGGACTTCGTAGTTCTTGATATGGAGGAGGACCGGGAGGTGCCTCTAATTTTGGGACATCCATTTTTTGCGACAGCTCATGCTCTGATAGACCTGCAACAAGGAAAATTAATTCTAAGACTAAATGATGAAGAAATAGTGTTTGATGTCCATAAAGCGATGAAAAATCCTACTATATTTTATATTGATTTTTGTTTTCACTCTGATAGTTTGGTGAGATTGTAGGTGATCACAGAGAAGAAGTTTTGCAAAAGGACTCTTTAGAGAGATGTCTAATGGAGTCAAGCACAACAAAAGATAAAGGCCCATGCTTGAGAGAAGAAGCTAAAGCGTTAGAGAATGAATCTCTGACTGATAATAATATGGAGCTAAAGGAGGATTTGCATAAAACTTCCAATGAGGCTTCTAAACTTGAACTTAAACCTCTTCCTTCACATTTAAAATATGTTTTTCTAGATAAAGATGCTTACCCTATGATTATTTCTGCATCTTTGACAGATTTGGAGGACAAGTCACTATTAGACATTTTGAGGAAGCATAAGAAGGCTATGGGATGGACAATTGCTCATATCAAGGGAATAAGCCCTTCCATCTGCATGCATAAGATCCTCATGGAAGAGAATTTCAAGCCAACAATACAACCGCAAAGGAGATTAAATCTTGCCATGCAAGAGGTGGTATGAAAGGAAATGGTAAAATTACTCGATGCAGGTATTATTTATCCTATCTCTGATAGTAATTGGGTTAGTCCTATGCAAGTAGTGCCTAAGAAAGGGGGAATGACTGTAGTGAAGAATGAAAATAATGAGCTTATCCCCACTAGGATGGTAACTGGATGGCGTGTGTGCATAGATTATAGAAGATTAAATTTTGCCACTAGAAAAGACCATTTCCCATTGCCATTTATTGATAAGATGTTAGAGAGATTAGCGGGTAATAAATTTTATTGTTTTCTTTATGGCTATTCTGGTTATTATCAAATTCCTATTGCTCTAGAGGACCAAGAGAAAACAACATTTAATTGTCTTTATGGCACGTTCGCTTATCGACGTATGCCATTTGGTTTATGTAATGCGCCAGCTACTTTCCAACGTTGCATGATGGCAATTTTCTCTGATATGACTAAAAAATTTCTGGAAATTTTCATTGATGATTTTACGTTGTATGCACTAACCTTTGAATCTTGTTTGCAAAATCTTGCGTTAGTTTTATAGCGTTGTGAGGAATCATATCTTGTGATGAATTGGGAGAAGTGCCATTTTATGGTTCGAGAAGGTATCATGCTTGGACACAAGATCTCTGAGCGAGGGATTGAGGTCGATAAAGCAAAAGTGGAAGTGATTGAAAAATTACCTCCCCTGACGATGATTCGAGTAGTCAAAAGTTTCCTTGGCCATGAGGGATTTTATAAAAGATTTATTAAAGATTTCTCAAAAATTGAAAAAACTCTATCTAATCTTCTTGCCAAGGATATAAGATTTAACTTTGATTCTAAATGTTTGCAGGCCTTTAATTTGTTGAAGGAGAAGCTAGTGACAGCACCAATAGTGGTCACACCAAATTGGAACAACCCCTTTGAAATTATGTGTGACGCGAGTGACTATGCCATCGATGCTGCTCTTGGTCAAAGGAAAGACAAAATGTTTCAGGTCATATCCTATGCCAATCATACCTTAAATGGTCTACAATTGAACTACACAACAACTGAGAAAGAATTACTAGCAGTGGTCTTCGCATTTGAGAAGTTTAGATCCTACCTCATAGGCACGAAATCCGTAGTCTACACAGATCATGCAGCTCTACGACATCTCTTTGCTAAGAAGGGTGCCAAACCACGCCTTATCAGATGGGTCCTTCTACTTCAAGAGTTTGATTTGGAGATTAAAGATTGAAAGGGGACAGAAAATCAAGTTGTTGATCATTTGTCCTGACTAGATAATTCAATCCTTGAAGAGGGAGTTATTAGTGCAGAATTTCCTGATGAGCGAATTCTATCTCTTAACTCTTTTCTTTTCTAAATCTCCATGGTTTGCTGATTTGGCTAATTTTCTTGTAGGAGGCTAGATTCCAAAGCATTTTATATTCCAGCAAAGGAAAAAAAAAATTGGCTGATGTCAAATATTATTTATGGGAAAGCCCTTACTTGTACAAACTATGTGTAGATCAAGTTGTTCAAAAATGTGTGCTGGAAGAAGAGATTGGAGCTATTTTGAGTCATTGCCATGATAGAGAAATCGGAAGGCATTTCGAGGCGAATCGCATAGCGGCAAAGGTGTTGCAATCAGGTTTTTATTGGCCCACTATGTTTCGGGATGCTCAAAGGTATGTATCCTCTTGTGATCATTGCCAAAGAACAGGTAATATTTCTAAGAAAGATGAGATGCCTTTAAATAATATATTGGTATGTGAAATTTTTGATATTTGGGGCATTGATTTCATGGGACTGTTTCCATCATCATATGGAAATGCTTTTATACTTGTGGCAGTAGATTACGTTTCCAAATGGGTGGAGGCAATTGCCACCAAAACTAATGATTCTAGAACAATACTCAAATTCCTTATATGGAATATTTTCACTAGATATGGAACTCCTTGGGCAATCATTAGTGATGGTGGGAAGCATTTTTGTAATCACCAATTTAATGCACTCTTAAAGAAATATGGAGTCACACATAAGGTAGCCACTCCCTACCATGCCCAAACTAGTGGTCAAGTAGAGGTCTCTAATAGAGAGCTAAAACGAATTTTAGAAAAGACCGTTAGTGCCTCTAGAAAAGATTGGGTGACAAAGTTAGACGATGCTTTATGGGCATATAGGGCAACCTTTAAAACACCTATAGGTATGTCACCTTATAGGTTAGTATTTGGAAAAGCATGTCACCTGCCAGTAGAATTAGAGCGCAAAGCTTATTGGGCTACTAAATTGTTGAATTTTGATGTGCAAAGTGCAAGTGCTAAACGTCTTTTGCAGGTGAGTGAGCTAGATGAATTTCTTCATTGGGCATACGAGAGTGCTAGTTTGTACAAGGAGAAGACAGAGATGGCATGATAGGCACATTGTTAAAAAGGTGTTCGAGCTGGGACAACAAGTTTTTCTTTACAATAGTCGTCTTTGTCTTTTCCCAGGAAAGCTAAAATCAAGATGGACGGGTCCATATGAGGTAATTCAGGTAACACCTTTTGGAGCAATTGAGATCCACCATGGAAAGACAGGTGAAATGTTTAAAGTTAATGGACACCACTTGAAGCACTATGTTGGAGGACGTTTTGATCCAAACACCACGTCCGTCCAGTTTCTTGAATGAAGAAAGTGGAGAAAGTCAAGCTAACGACTCTAAATTAGAACTATAATATTTTTCTTTCTTTTCTCTCTTTACAATTATTTTATTTTTGTTTGATTTTGTTTTGCTATCGTTGGAACAAGGAACAAGTTTGCGGGAAGCTTAAGTGATAGAAGAAGAATACAATTTTGAGCAGAATAAAACACAAGCTACCTTGTGTTATTTTACACAGCCATGGCCATGTTAAAAGATAAAAAGGTTGCAGATTCTAGCCTTCACCATGGGGTACCCCGTGTCATTTTACACAGTCGTGGCCATGTGCCAAAAAAAAAAAAATCTCTTCTTTTTCAGGGAAGTTTCTATCTTTTATTTTCCATATTTTCTATTTTGGTTTTTGTTTTTCATGCATTGAGGACATTGCATTCTTTAAGTTTGGGGGAGTGGGCAGTTTGATTTGTGTTGCATTGTTGATAGTCTGTTTCTTTTGTTTGGTGGGTTTGTTTTTAGAAGTGTTTATTTTATTTGTGTGTTTTTGGTCTGTATTTTGTATTGGTTGCATGGTGGTTATTATGCTTGTGCTTTTGATACAATCCCAAACGAAATTTTGTGATATCCCCAAAGAAAAAAAAATTTGCTTTTTGTGATGAACTTTGTAATCATTTGGAGTAGTGGTAGTATCAGGTCATTGAAAGGATTCAAATATGCTCATATCTTTAACAATGCTGAAGAGTATGTAATTCTAGATGGTTGTGCAAATCTGGTTTATTAGTTGACTTTGTTGTCTACTAGCTGAGCCTTGTCTTCACTCCCTATAAAAAAAAAAAAAAAAAAAAAAAAAAAAAAAAAAAAAAACTATATATACAGTCTTGAAATAAATTAACTATGCTTATTTGTTTTTTTTTTAATGAACTACTCTGCTGTTTCGAGCTACTTAGTAACCAAGAGTATTCATGAGCCCCATGTTTACTTTTGCGTCAAACCGTGGCTTGAAATATGAGTATGCAAAACACTTTATGTGTTGTGACATTGTTGAGTAACCGAGGGCACTCTTCACAAATGTGTGCATTCACGTAAAAAGGTGATGTGATAATCTGAGGAAGAAATTGAAAAAAGAAAAAAAAAGAGAATAAGAAGAAAAAAAGTAGGGGGTTGAGTATAAAGTCTTGGTGAGGCATGATCAGGTTGAGGAAAGATTAGAGTTTCACAATTAGCTGGGCTGTATGTTTGGTAGCATGAATATTATTTAAAGCATGTTTGCTTTCTTTTCCTTGATTTTGGGAATGTTGCAAATCCTTGATGATTGTTGAGTTTATTTTTCTGATATTTTCTTTACTCGGGGATGAGCAAAGGATTAAGTTTAGGGGAGTTGATAAGTTGCATAATTTGAGTGTTTTTAAGGTTGTTTTGATGTTAGTTTAGTTAACTTCTTATTTGTTTCCTTTGTTTTGATGTTTGTTTTTGTTAAGTTTGAGATATGAATGGTTACCTATTGATTTGGATAACTTTTGTGTTTTTTAAGGCTTTGATTAAGTAGATTGGAGTATTCAAATGAAATTGGGACTTAAAGCTTGAAGAAGTTGATATTACCTAACATTCTTGAAGGCCACGGCCATGCCTTGGTAGTTCACCATGGCCGGTGGTGGAACAAAGAGAAAACAAAGAGCCCAGGAAGCACCACAGCCTAGGCTGTGGTGATTTAAATTTGACCACGGCCAGGGTTGTGGCAGAAACTATTAGGGCGTTTTTATCAGTTTTTCTTTCCTTTTTCACTTAGGACTCTTTTGGGTATTTAAGTATAATTGAGATAGTTGTCAAGGGACGAATTTTGCATATTTTTTAGAGGAGAAGACACATTCTTAGGGCTTGAGGACTGAAGATCAGATTTAAGAGTTTGATTTTTTTTTATTTTCAAGTTTGATTATGTTTTCTTTCTTCTCTATTTATTTCTTTGTTCTTGGGATGGAGTAAATCCTTTTGTTAGGGGAGGATGGAACCCTAATTATGTTTTGAACAATTTTTATTCTTAATACCAGATTTATGTTTATGAATTTGTGCAAGAGTTTAGGTTTAATGCTTTATGAATGTTGGATTGATTCAATTACCTTGATGATGTTTCGAATAGAGAAGTTATGGTTTATTGCTTAATTCATATTCATAATTCTTATATGGGAATAACATTGCACAACATATTAAAACTAGAAGTAATCGAATAGAGATTCTAGGATTGATTTGTGGTCTATCTGATTCATAACCGAATAGGGTGAATTAGTCGTAAGGGATTGATGAATTTATGCTTCTTAATTTCAGAGTAACCGAATAGGGATCTGTATTAAGTTGAATATTATGCCTGAATAAGGATAGTTGGCCTTAGAAGAATTGTGCCAATTCACAGCACAAACAGGTATTAAAAGTGGTTGTCAAGCATAATTAGGGGGAAATCTATACCCTAACTTCATTAATATTGCAAAGTTCATCACATTATTCATTTGTTTAATTTAGTTATTTTTAATCCGTTACTTCTACACTCTAAGATTTTGTTTTCTCAAATAACATGAAGGTAGTTTTAGGTAATTACAAATATTTCACTTTGATCTCCGTGGGACGATACTCAAACTCATCACTTTATTACTTGAACACGACTAGTGTACTTGCTAAGGTTGATTTAGTCGCATCAGCTTCCGCACCCAATAAATTGAAGGTTAATAGTTCCAAGTTCGTTATGCTAAATGGAATCCTAATTTGATTTCATTGATTCTCAAACCTATCTCTAGCGTTGATAAGAGTGTAATTTAGAGATTTTTATTCCTTCCATATTATGTTTTTGTTATGTTTTATGCCTAGTTGAGCTGATTAGAGCTTATTTTGTAAGTTTGGCATATTTGGATAGACTTTAGGAAATAATTGAGAAAATATTAGGAAATTCCAGATTTTCCAGATTTTCCAGATTTTTCATTATTCTGACCAGTTCTACGTTTTTCAGGTTTTTCAGGGAGCTAGATTCCTCGATTGCAAAAGTGTTCTTTAGAGAAATTAAAGTAGACGAATCAAGCTTTTCAGGAATGTATTATGGGCAAGAATCCGAGTTCGTTTGGGTTCTCAGTAGTTGTTGCAAAACCAGGACCTGGAATCCTAGTCGCGGAAGGATTCCTTAGCTGAGTATTGAATCTTTGAATGGGCCTAACTGGAGTGTCAGATATCGAAAACGGGTGATTCAAAAGCCTAGATTCATCTACACATCCTGGACTACAATTTTCATGAAGTGATGGAGCCCAGAAAAGATCTTTTACATTGCAAGAATCCTGGTGCAAAATGGAGACGAATTCTGGAATCCATATCTGATCAGATTTTATCAAATCTGGAAGTCTATCTCCTAGGAAACATCTAGGAAATAAATTCCGTGATTCTTGGGGAAGAATTAAGGAAAACACATGTTATTTAATTAGAAGTTTTTAGGTTAAACGAGGGAGGACAGTAGAGTTTTAATTTTGGAGAGTTTTTGCGTTCTTGATCAAGATGTGCGGCTAATTTCCTTCTTCAGTTCAAGGGGATTTTGAAGCCTAATTTCATGTCATTGGTGTAACTTAACTTCAGTAACATTGTTCTCAATCTCG